TTCATCAAAATTGAGCTAATGCTACTTAAAAACATTACACCAAGAAGATAAAAGAAAAGGTAAGTGTTAGTGATATAACAAAAACATTCTAAAATTGTATCGAGGTGTGACCTTTACCTTAACATTTGTAGTTGGTTTTGCTTGGGTTGCAAAGGTCTTCAACCCCTGCAAGAAAGGCGAAGATTCGCTCGTTAACTCCACGGTCAAAGCACACAGCGAAAAGCACACCGACGCCCGATTCAAGAAATAACAAATAAGACTACGGGGCGAATTAATCTCGATCTTTCCGACCGAAACTAGATTCGACAACCGCAAACCAAAAGCGCAAAGGATGAATCACGGGAAAGCCAAAAGAATAAGATGTGGAACAGCTAAATGGCAACACAGATCGCGATTACATCTGTTACCAACTTAGGGCTTACAAAGGTCAGATCGACGGCCGATCGAACGCAGAGGGCCGGCGATTCGACCGCAACGATCTTTCTGAAGAAGGGGAGAGCAGATCTGAGACGCCCTGAGAGAGCCATCGGGAACCCTAATGCTTTCGCCGCCTCCGCCGGAGACCCAAATCGTTGCGAGGAGGAAATGGTGTGCGCAAGCGGATCGGTTTGGAGGACTGCAACGTTTTATTAAGAGAACATTGATCCTGACGTGGGGTGTTTCTATCACAATCATGTATGTGTCTCCTGTTATGAGAGACTCAGACGATCCTGCCATGCGACGTGTTTGTTCCATGTAATATTACACAACGAATGAAATCATTCGAGTGTTCCGTTCTTGTAATCACCGGCAATGAGCGGATTCCCGACGGGCTCATCGTTTACACCAAACTGGGCCAAGCCAAATGTTGGCGGATAACGGAAGCCTATATAGCCCATGAAGTGTAAGTACGGTGATTTTCCGTTGGGCTCACCGCGGCCGATAGGATGACAAATTGCCGTCCAAAATTTTCTTTCCAGCCTCAAAACTGTCAAATTCGTGTGTTTTGATAGTGTCATCGGTGACTGGATTCAAAGCAGGTGACGACGGAAGTTTTGAGGAGAGAGAGGGAACAGAAAAACAAAATAATAAATAGAGAATATATCATCGACATCAACGAGTTATCATCATAAATTAAATTATTAATAATATACAATTAATCATATTTTTTTTGAGTTATCATCATTTAAATATAATTCTCTTGCATAATATTTTATATAAATCTAAAAAATTTAGACATTTTCTTTAATGGTTTCTGAAAACCTTAAAAAGAATCCTCTTTAGCTCAAAAATACAAATTATAATGATTTATTTCATTCATGATAATTATTTCTCGTACGCTCGAACCTTCTAGACTCGGGACCGGCGGGACAACCGTGTGATGTCCCTGGTGATCACATGAAGTCCTCGTCAAACGAACAGTTCGAGACGTGTGAGACGACGGTGGACAGCATATGAACTTTACGTCGGTACTGATGGCCGAGACGTATTTGCTATAAGAAACCATCAGACGCTCGGATGGTGATAGCTACAGCCAGTGCCTCGGTGCTCGACTTGGCAGTAAAGCTTGCATGCTGACGTCCCAGTTGAGTCGGCCTGGAGCCGACTGTGGCAACTCAAGCAAGCCATTTTCTCTTCTACTCTCATCTGCAGGAGATTGGGAAGCTTGGGAGCAGTCAGGGTTCCCACCAGATTGACTACTTTTACATCTGTCTCGTCTTCTTTGGTCTCCCAACGCCTCTTCTCATATGCTCTTGCCGTTAGGTGGGAGCTGGCCACTGGCCCTCGCTTTTGTCAGAATTATGGCGACGATCCCCAGCCTTAAGAGGACGGCACGCATTTGCATGACATAATGCACTCGCTCATAAATGAGCTCGCCAAGTCAGAGAAAAAAAAGGAGCCCCGTCTTCCTTTATTCTTCTCTTCCTCTCGCTAGCTTTCACTACTCGCGCTACTACTTACTCCTCCAGGACAGCAGTCCATGATGAAGACCATCAACATGGGAAGAACCACTTTCCGTGACTCCTCCTCCTCGTCGTCTAGAAGACACTTCCAGTGGAGGATAAGGAGGTCACCGAAGGAAGGAGGAGGAGTAACAGAGAGGAAGGAGTGGGATGAGGTTGAAGAGAACGCAGGTCTCGGTTTGTTTTCCTCCTCATACTACACTTACAAGAAATACCAGAGTAGCGCCACCCCGACCGCCTCTGTTGCTGCTGCTGCGCCGAAGAGAACTTGGGCGTCGGAGACTGCCGTGTCGAGGCTTCTGTCGGTTCTGGCGGCTGCAGCTTCCGGTCGCCGGAACCGATCGACAGGGCTTGGAGTCTACGTCACGGGGACGCTCTACGGGTACCGGCGCGGGTACGTCCACCTCGCCTTCCAGACGGACAGCAAGTCGTGCCCGGTGGTGCTCGTCGAGCTCGCGACGCCCACGAGTACGCTCGTGCGCGAGATGGCGTCGGGCCTGGTCAGGATCGCTCTCGAGTGCGACCGCAAGGCCAGAAGTGGCGGCGGAGGGAAGGCGGCGTCGACGAGGCTAGTGGAGGAGCCGCTCTGGCGGTCGTACATCAACGGCAAGAAGTGCGGCTACGCGGTGCAGCGCAACTGCGGACCGGCCGACTGGAAGTTGCTGAGGGCCGTGGAGCCGGTGTCGATGGGGGCCGGGGTGATCCCGGGCGTCGGAAGCGGTGCCGGCAGCACCGACAGGGACGTCATGTACATGAGAGCAAGGTTCGAGAGAGTGGTCGGGTCCAAAGACTCGGAGGCCTTCTACATGATGAACCCCGACGGCCATGGCAGCACTGAGCTCAGTGTCTATTTGCTCAGAGTCTGAAGAAGATTCGTCTCTGCTTCGTAATGGATCAACTGCTTCCGTTCTCTGTCTTTATGTAGCAGTAGCTTTGTGTTGGGGGGTGAGATCGAGTTGCTACTTCACTTTCCCGGTGTTGTATTATGCCCTTCTGTGTTGTGTTCAATCCCAAATCTGTGGAATGAGGTGGCTGTTTCGAATATCTGCTTCTCACTGTTCTTGGTTGAATGGACGACACACGAGCAGATTGTTTGGGCAATCCTACTCACTTGTTAAAGATCTCTATCTAATCCAATTAATGATCGACCAGATCCAAAGATATTTATCACGTACACATATATGTCACTGGGCATGATTCTAAACTACCACGCCTAAGTATTTTAATGGCGCGATTTCCGTAGAAGATTCCAACTTGCCTATTAGGAAATGTAGAAGTGAAGTATCAGTTGGTTTCTTCGCTTTGGGATGTCGCAAGCATCATCATCACAATTGTGGTAGCAATTAGCACACGTTCACGTCAGCCATTTTGAAGGCTATCCTTTCACCAAATAAATGCAATTTAAAGTGATTCTCTTTCAGCAAACATGCTCTGTTTTCATCATGACTGGAATAGTTGAGATGCTTTCAATAAAGGATCATATTTGTGATGATAGTTTAAGAATGCCTCCAGTGGTTTAAATGCGTTCTCTAAAGTAGGATGTGCTTTTCTTCTCCAAAGAGGGCCCTCTGTTGATATGCTACAAGCACCAGCTTGGATCAATCATGCTCTACTTTTGGAATGATTTAGTATGGATTTAATCCATTCTTTAAGGGGAATCACAAACAAAGCTTGGCTCCATTACCCTTATCAGCTAACATACACCACGAATTGCTGTCTCCGGCTGAAGCCTCATCCTCCTCCTCTCTCTCTCTCTCTCTCTCTCTCTCTCTCTCTCGCAGCCTTGGAGGGAGGGAGATGAGCGTGACTGTGTTGGGCACAACTGAGACAAGCAGATCTGAGGGATTCCTCCTCGTTTCTTGAGCTCGCCCTATCCTCACATTACAGTCTTTAACGAAGGGTTTCATATGGTTACTCTTCCATGAGCATGTGTGGAAAAGGAGAACAAAAGATATATATAGAGAGAGAGAGAGAGAGAGAGAGAGAAAGGAAGGTGGTACTGAGGAGGCTTGGCTTCTCGAGGTTAGGAGTATTAATATAGGCTTTGAAATCATTGCCACACGCACTGAAGCATGCAGAATCTGATGCTGCTTTGTGGAATGCTCGATTCCCAGCAAAGTTGTTGCTCTAAACCCAAGTCTCTTCATGAAATGCTAAGTTGCATGCGCCTGTGGAGAAAAAAGAACATGTATGTAGTCTGATCTCGATTCGATCGAACCAAAGTCGAATCGAAATTGAATCAATCCAGAACCAGAATAGAAATGGTAATTTAGAACCGAATCAAAATCTACTTTCGATACTCGAAGTTGCAGTGGAACTCATGAAAAGTCACCATGTCATTGGTGCAAATAATTTTCATTGAATTTTCAAGCTTGCAATTCGAGTCTACACAACAAAAAATGGAGACTAATCTTAATATGATCCATGGTGTCCTAAATCAGAGGATAAAGAGCATGCCAAAACAGAGAGTGAAGCGACATTAATGAGGTGCTAACCTGAGATTTACATTGCTAGTAATTTTCCATATATAAATTGTTGGAAAATTACTTATATATCATCAAATCATTAGGTTAAACCTGTGGAGTGGCTGTGATGTTTAACTCCATCCCCCAAGAAATCTGTGCTCGTTTGTTCTACCTGCTTGCCAGATTCACATTTACTCTGCTCTCGAATTCTTGTCCTCCCTATGAGGATGTCAATCTACCTCATCACATCAGCTGCTGCCGGAGGTAATTAAGTTGATAGGCATCGTATTGACTTTGATGTGCTGTTTGTTAAACTTACAATCATACGTAGTTGTTGGCCTCCTTTTAGGTCACAACAGTAGGCAAACCCTAATTCTGGAACCACATCGAGTTCCGAATTTGTAGCATGTGTTTTGACTCGTACACCTACGCACTGACTAATTTGCGCCATGGTGATGCAATAGAAACAACGAAGTCACCACCCGTATCTATCTGTGTAAGATGCAACAGATGTAGACTTTTAAGGTCGTGATGTAGCAATCTTCATCGATCACTGCCATCTGATCGCGATCGAAAGAGAGAAGAACATGCATCAAAAGCAAATACCAACTTCTAATGATCATGTTATCTTTTTAGGTACAGAAGAAATTAACTTTCAACTCAGTCAAACACTGAGCTGTCTTCTTCATCTCCGAAAAGGTTTACAGGAACCGAGTGTTCAGTTCAAAAAGCTGAATCATGGCAATGCATCAACTTGCGACGTTGAGATGCGTATGAACCACATTCTTGGTTTGGTGGGCGGGAGAGCATTTGCATGATCGGCCAATCTGTATGAACAAGCTGCTATGTCATGCCGGGTCAACTGGTTAAGGTGTCCTATCACTCATCCATCCATCATCTTCATCAACAAGCTTTAGAAGTCAATGCTCAATAGTGGAGCAGTTATTAGCTATGCCTCCTGGCCAGTAGCATCATTCCACTTCTCCTCTGATGATGCATCGAGTCTCAACCTAAATTGTCCTCCGTCTCCAATCTTATGATCGAGCCGACAGAAATAAAAGCGAACCTGTAGAGTTTGGAGCGAGTGACCTAAATGATATAAAGTGTCAATTATCGGGTGATGATCGGAAAGAAGTAAAAGCGTACATCAAGGAGAGGGCATTCGATCACTAGGAATGGAGTTGTGCCGCTTCGACGGCGCCGACGGCGGTACTGGGATTCCCCTCGGAAGGAAGTTGAACGTGCTGCTCCAAGGGACACTATGACCTGTGTGGTGAACTCGGCGGAGGAGCTCGTCAGGTGGTCGGTCACCGGCGGGAACCTCTCTTCTGATGGAGCAGGCGCTGCGTGGGCCATGAAGAAGAAGAAGCATAAGAAGAGACAGGAGAAAGCGAGAAGAGATGCATGAGGGAGGAGGTGGAGGAGATTTGGCAGGAGAAGCCATGAGGAGAGCCTCCTTGAGGTATGGAATATGAGAGGGATGTGGTGCAGGACCGGTTATTATGTAGAATGGGAAGGGGGGAAGCTACGTGTGAAGAGGAAGACGATTGAGATCCAAGAGAGACTGTTCCAGAGTTGGAAAATGTCAAAGGAGGATCTCTATGCTGACAGTGGAACCGCAACGTGGGCCGTAGAACTTCGAATGCAAACGCTAGAACTCCGTCATCGTTTACATCATGGTGGTGTATGCATGTTCCACTGTTCCGTGGCCTTAACGAGACATATTATGTCGTGTATTAAGAATGAGAGATAAGATGGTGTCGATTAACCCCCCCTACCCCACTTGTGACAACCAAAGGTCAAACCACGGCACATGGACATGAAACTATGAGACATCGTTTGGCTTGGGAGTCAAAATGTCGGCAACGCAGGAGGCGTGCGTAAGCAAACGTTTAAGTTAATGAGTTGGTGGGTGTTAAACAGACATGATTTGCGCACATTTTGGAGTTGAATTCTATATACGCACGCCATCTCATTTCCCATGTATTCATACACGATGGAAGCAATAGGAGATTACGACGTGTATGGCTAAATATTGGAGGAGTCTGATAAATAATATTGAGGACCATCAAAAACATAATAAATCTTAAATAGGTTTTTAATTGAATTGGTGTGCCATCCAGCATTGCAGTCATAAATTATATATCTCTTCACTCTTTTATTCCGTTTCTCTCAAAATTGTTGGTGCACTCTACAGTTTGATTGTAAGTCATAATAGGTATATATTTCCCATCACAATTTAATGGCTCCCATGTTCTTATGGATTGGTTGAGGAACAACCATGGGCTTTTTTTTTTTTTTTTTCTTTTTGGAAGCCCATCTCTCATGACAATGACTTTCTCTTCACCAAAGCTCTCGTCAAGATAATTATGCTCTTGGGTTCTTGGCTCGTGTTGTGATTAGTCTCGATGAAAGAGTGTTAGGGGTGATTATAGGAAAATAATCGACTTTGGGGATGGATGCTTCAAAATGATAAGGTTGAGGTATATGAGAGACCTCTAAAATAAAGGTAGCGATCATGCGGAGGGATTAAGGGGGCATATGGAGATGGCAAGGGTTTACAATAGTGGAAACGATTAGAACAATAACAAGGGCCTCACAACGATGGCAACAACCCATAGTGTAATATGACTGAGGTGATCATAACGAGGCAAAGACGATTATGATTAAAGTAATCTTATTTTTTTTTAAATATACTAAAAAAAGGAGCACAACAAAGAAAAATTGAAAAGTTTAGACTTTTTTTTTAGGAATTTGTCTATGGGTATATATATTTATAGATAACCAAATTCTTAAGGTTAAAAATGGTATAGATCGTTATTAATAGGATACTTTTACTGCGTGCACGGTCTCTCTCTCTCTCTCTCTCTCTCTCTCTCTCTCTCTCTCTCTCTATATATATATATATATATATATATATATATATATATATATATATATATA